GTGGCAGACAATTCCCCAAAATGATTAGACTGTAATATTCCTCTTTTATTACTGGATACTGACCCGTGCTTCTCAAGCTGGCATTTCAGACACACGCTCCCTTTGCCCCACTGTCGTTTCAATTTCGGCAGTCATCTTGATTCTACATCCATCCCAAAATATAGGTAAGTGAATCGCTTGTAATATTGAAACGGACCCACCAAATCCGCTCGACCACGGATGAAGGAGGGATCCAGCTGCGAGAATGTTCCCGAAGGTGACACTCTGGGTCTACTCACTTTCGGCCTCTGGCATGATTTGCCCTGATTTGCATGTCACATTGCACGTTTGGCTTCATATTTCTTACCAAGATTACTTCAGCTGAAACGTTTGCCTCTGGGTGTGATAACGAAGGCGAATGACTAAATTTAGCTCTCCACATAATTTTGGGAAAGAATCTTTCGCTACACCGCAGCTGTCATCTACTGGAGATAGTAATTGTTTAAGTTTGAGACTAGAAATATTCGCATTCAGGATAGGCTTTAATTGTTTGTCGTTCCTTTGATTTTCGGCCAGTGCTTTGAGGTCTACCGTGGTGTGTTGCAATGTATTCATGTGCATTCTGGACAGTGAATTAGCCGCAAAGTTCTCCATCCTTTCCATCGCCGTCCATTCACTTGACTTATATCGCTGGTAAAATGTGATATAAAATCAAAGTGACGAATTTTGTGTTTTGGGTATTTGTCCGTTTCGCGTTGAACGCCTAGGCAAGAGTTTTGTGATCTGTATAAATCGTGAATGGCCTGGTCTCTATCGTGCTTCTAAATTGCTTGACTACCAAGCAGATTGCTAGCAACTCTCTGCCGGAAGCAGAATATCCTGCTTCTGTAGCATTAAACAGTTTAGAGATGAATGCTATCGGTTCCTGGCTATTTTCGATTACCTGGTTCAAAGCTGGTTCCACAGTCTTATCTGATGCGTCTATCACTGGTGCCAGAGGAGAATCCGGATTAGGATGATTCACAGTTGTGGCTTTCGCCAACGCTTCCCTCAGATGCAAAATGGCATAGGATGCCTCTTTTGACAGTTGGAAGTCTTTTGGTTTTCCCTCTGATGCATCGGTTAGCGGCTGCATGTGTTGTTGAAGTTCAAGTAAGAGGAGTGTCAGCCACGTCTCGTAAACCGTCGATGTCCAGCTCTTGCTACGCTCGGGCTCACGCTGTTCCTTGAAGTTTCTCAGAAACGCTTAGTAATAACGGACGCAAAAACCAAAACACCGATTGGCCACTCGAGAATTCTTTAGTGTAACACCAACATATAGCCAACTTTAAAATTAAGCTTTAAAACTGAGATCTATGAACAAATATTACAATAATAAATCACAATATCACTTCTGACGGTATTGTCCTGACTTCTTTCTGAACAGCGACCGATGAGACGATGACTGGTGCATTGATGCCTCCGGGAAAATTGGGGAAGTTGGTTTTGAGCAGACAACCATGAATTGATCGTTCAATCTTCAACTACATTGACAAGGAGTAAGTAAAAGGATCAAAACCAGACTACTCCGAAGCTATGTGAGAGATGTAGCTAAGGGATACTGCTTGATGGCATCCACCTCCTTGGGCATGAATGCGATTCCAGTGCTTTAAATTACATACCGTGGGAGCTCTATTGTTCCTGCCCCCAAAACGCACTTACTTTGATTGATTGTCATGATATTTTTCTTTAATTCACGTAATTCTGCCCGAATGTGATCTTCATGTGTGTTTTTATCTGGGCTGGAGATAAACAGGTCGTCTATACTTGCTTTGGCGAATGGCGACTCACGCAGTAAATTATCCATAAATCTTTCTGGGCGTTTGTGAAGCATTCTGGAAATCAAAAGATATCCTCACAAACTCACACAATCCAAATGGGTGGTAATGGCTGCTTCAGACATGTCTTCTTCATCCGGCGAAATGCTGTGATAGGCGCGCACCAACTCTATTTTATTAAATATTGTGGTACCTTCAGGACCATTAGTAAAGTCCTCAGCATGTGGTACTTGGTACCTGACTGAGACGGTCTGATTATTTCCGGCTCTTTTATCACAAGCGTACCAACAGGTCTGGTTTCTCCCAGACAACATGTGTAGCCGCGAGGCCCACTGACTATTTGAATGAAGCGTGTAACCAAATTCATCTTTCGCCAATTTTGGCCCGCCTGAGGACAATTTTCTTGACTCACCGAAAACAGGAGCATGTATCCATATGGTATGAGTACCTTCTGGGAAAGGTCCAGAAGTGTGCGGGTTGGTTGGAGTTAGAGTTGGGAATTAGACTGATATTCTTCGGAATCTTTCAGTTGGTGCTGGAGGAGAATGGACCAAAATAAGGGAATGATTTTCGCTTGCTCTGTCGTCAGTATGCCAGGTTTGTTTCGTTGTTAAACGTCTCTTTTCAGCATGCACTAATAGATCATAACTTGCTGGTAAGTCAATATAGATGACCGCCAGGTCTATACCAGCAAGGATAAACATCTACGGCAGCTGTCAATTAAGCCCGAGGTCGAAAGTTAGTATTTTCGGAGTGAACACAGCAATCTGGGTTTTGATCGCGGCCTTAAGCGTGAAGAGGGACATCTCCCATCACTTAGTGATCTCTGCTTTCTGTACGATGTTGAGTTCAGCTCCCGTACTAACCAAGAAGGGTATATCAGAAGTAGAATAGGAGAATATCGGAACATCCCTTCTCAGTAGCCAGCAGATGTCTACGGAATTGGCCTGTTCTTCCAGTTTTTCTAAGTCTACTCTCTGGCCGAGAATGTGCCCAATTGTGCTCTTTGCCCCATCTGCCAAGTGCAAGCCATATTTGTGCTAGCTTTTCTGCTTGCTACCTGACTGAGGTCACAAGTTCTGAGGTTGCTGTGTTTTTTCTCATATTCATTTGGATCACCTGCCCCTATCTCTAAGTTGTGTCTTCCCCAATATATCGTCAATATGCAACGACAGAAGGGCAAGACACAGAAGCCAAAGTACGTTTTTCATTAATCAAACCGCTGTTTATATATCTGCAATTCATATTTTTTAGCCAATCCTCGAGCGTGTGATTTAGGCTGACATCAATTAGCATGAAATAGAATGTTCAAATATAAATAGAATTCTTTTGCTACATAATTGTGGGAAAGTATTCTGCTTCCAACATCAAATAGAATGTTCAAATAGATATATCTTATTCTGTTACTAATACCTAATCTAACTGTGAGAATATGTGAGAATAATATTCCTTTGGCAAACATTGTCTATATTACACCACCACAAATGGTGAGTGTTAACTGCTCAATAGAAGAGTCAGGATCCTGTGCGTGTGGGGCCTGCTTCATACATTCTATAAGGTCTTGCGTTCAGCCTTACTTCACTACAGCCACCCTCAGCATGCTGTTCCCCACAAGAGGACATAAACAGCGCAAGAACTGCGTTGAAGACCCATGTCTCGTATCCCCTTTTTAATTAACCATTGTATTCACAGGTTTATGGACGTTTAGAGGTATTTTATTACCTCACAAATATGCAGTATATATAATTGCTAGTTTTGGAGGATGAAGCGTGAGTTTCCGCCTTGAGAATCAAGGAATTTCGTTAGCTCAAGTGGACTTCAGTCATTTCGCCTTCAAAGATGAACTTATTTGTCTGTGCTGATTAAAATCATATTGTAAACAACAGAATTATCAAGAGGCAAGAGTTAGTCGCTGTGTTGAGTGTGATCCTGTCTCCCTAGTTTCTTCCTACGCTATCACTAATAATACATCACTGAACAGTTTTAGATATAATCTGTTATCACTAGTTGAAGTGGCGTTAAAATCGTTATGGCACCAGGTTAGACAGGTTAAGCTGGAAAATAGTCATGCGCTGTGGCCAAAGCTCAGGTCTAGCAGGACGGATTGCCACATAGCAGTCGTGAGAGTTGTTTCGAGTTGGAGCTAACTTAAACGAGTCAACTATTTGGCTTCCTAGTTCTATATCTCCATATTTTGAGAAGTTGGATGAGAACAGTAATCGCTGTACATGATGGTTTCAGATATGGTGTCATACCGGTCAAAGTAGTGTACTGGTTGGGCGGGCCATACTTGTGGGTAATTTCGATCGAGTTTAGTCAATTTAACCTCGGTGGTTACAAAAGAAATTAATTCTGAAGGAGTAGTTTTTGAAGTAAGTTTCCGTGGTTGGAACATGAGATATTGAGATGATTAAAAAAACTGAAGAAAAATGCACGTAAAAGTGAAAAGAACACAAAATGTATCTTATCATTCGGACGATAATTTTGTTGTTTTGAAGTGATCGTGGAGCCAGGATGACAAGTACTTTTGAAAGTACGGGATTAAGACTTATGTGTATATGCGGTGTATTTTGCGTAAGCATCAGTGTCCATCATCTTCTAAAGCCATCAAAGACAAGTGCAAGATAAAAGCTAGCAATGCGTCAGCTCACTAATGGAGTAGACTTTGGCGTGCTAATATAGGTAAATTACAGTCATCTGTCTAGCTGACTATGCACATTCTACAGTGAGTAAAATCAGTGAACTGATATTTCTAATGATCGCTACAAGTGTATGCAAACTAACATGTCTGGTGGGTATGAACAAACAAATCTTAATCCTTCACCATCAAATTTTTACTACCAAGTTATTTAAGGTAATTACTTGCTACATCAAACTTACTTGTTTAGCACCACAAGCGTCAGTAGATCCTTTTCAGGTAAGTGGCTTTTTGACTGTAAAAACCTTTGACACCCAACGCTGCATTTAACAAGTCTGTGGATTAAGGTAAAGACCCAATCGCATTCGTCACAAGTGACTCTGTTTGTGTCATCCCTCAAAACATTCCTTTCCTCTATATTCAGAGCACAATAAAAAATTGAAACACACTTTCTTTAAAAAACGGTCTTTGAGCCACATTCATAAATAAAATAGTAAAAAAATTTTAATCTCATTTCTACCTCCGATTCCGGTGTTGTATAGTGGATCATTTGATGCCAACTACTGAAAAGTGAAATGTAAACATAAATCAGGCGCTAATTATGCGTGTAGCGCTACTTGACCATTAATTTGTATCAATCCACGCGCCTCTAGCAGTTAAATCAGGTAATAATGTGACTGTATTGATATAGTTGATTTTTCGACAATTAATCCTCATGGTTAGAGTAATTAACTTATGTGTAACAGGTTTCGATGTGTGCCTTCGATTTATTTTACCTTTTGGAAGTCTATAGATCCAATGTTAGCTATTTAGCCGTCAGGTCACAAAATATGTCTACTTATGCATGAGATCTGATGGACCATTGTATGACTGAGTGTTGTAAATGGTTGATTCTTAGTTTATTTGCAGGGTAGGTGTATATAAGAATCTAGGAGTAATATCGATATTACCCCAAGATCTTGCTGTGAATCCAAGTCCATAAAAGTATTTCTCACTTATCGAGACACTATAATTGAAGATGCCATATTATAGCTTGCGATAAGTTATGTGAAATGATAACACCCATCATATAGGCGATATTTTTTTAAGTGAAGATGGTGACTGACTGGCTTATCAGCGTAGAGCTTCGGTTCAAATGGCATCAGTCCATGATATCACAATTCCAAGAAAGCGAACAAATGTAAAAAGTGTAATTAAACTACAGCACTCAAAGATATACGAAAAAAGTAGTGATTAGATGGATGTTGGGAATTATGTAACCTGGATGGTGACAAGGAATGATTAAGGCACTCTACTCGTACTCATACAGCCAGGTGAGGGCTTACGGCGATCTGTCATCTGAACTGGTGACGACCAGTGGTGTCCGTCAAGGATGCCCATTATCCCCTTTTCTATTCAACTTCATCATAGATGTGTTAATGGACTTAACCCTAAGTGACTTCAGCGACTCAGGGATTGACTTGCTACCAGGGAATAATCTCGTTGACTTGGAATATGCAGACGATATAGTCCTTCTAGGCGAAGACGCTGACGAAATGCAGAGTCTTCTAAACACCTTGAGCCGCAATCTACGAATGTTTGGCATGCGATTCGCTCCCGCCAAATGCAAGATGATGTTACAGGGCTGGACTACATCGACGCCTAGTTTAAAAATAGGAAGTGAAGTGGTAGAGCACGTTGACCGCTTCACTTATTTGGGAAGTACCATCAGCCAGTGCCAACGGGTTGATCTCTGACGAAATCTCAGCTGAGGACGGATACAGGGGGCTCGTTTCGCATTTGCCAGTTTACGCCGACTCTGGCGTAGACGAGATGTTCGACTATCGACCAAAGGGCGGGTGTACTGCTCATCAGTCCGCTCCGTCCTCCTTTATGGTTGTGAGACCTGGCCACAGAGTGGAAGACATGAAAAGACTAGCTGTCTTTGATCATAGGTGCCTGCGCTCTATTTCCTGTGTAAAGTGGTATAATAAGGTGAGCAACATTGAGGTTAGGCGTCGAGTTCTAGGTAAACAGGGGAAATCAATCGACGAAGTCGTGAAGTTACAAAGACTGAGATGGTTAGGACATGTGTTACGTATGCCAAGCCATCGCCTCCCTCGACGAGCAATGTTAGCGGATATAGGGTCAGGCTGGAAAAAAGCTATCGGTGGTCAAACAAAAACTTGGCCTCACCAGTCAATGAAATTCACAACAGTTGGTCTAAGCCACGTAATAAGGTTTAGGCTTCCTGACTGGTTGGGGTCCTCGGGAGGGTAAAAATCAATGGTTGGGAAACAATTTGTAATATGGCTCAAAATCGTTCTCAGGGATGGCTGGCGCAGATGCATCCACTCCTTGTGACTTATGATTTCCAATGAAACTGTTTCGTTCTTCGTTACTACTATTCCTTTGTCTCACACCTCTGTTTACTGTCTCTATTATACATTTCTTCTACTTTCTTCTCTTGCTTTGTGTGCTACATGGAGTTTGGCGACTTGAACTAGTGCACATCGGTGCAAAGTTCTATGTCGAAAACAGACAGACAAGGAATGAATGCATCAATACTAACCTCAGTTTCTTACTTTCCCAAGGACATCGAAGTCGACATGTCTTTTCTTGGCTCATTCCAAAAATAAAATTATCACGGGTTGGTACTCTGTTTTTCCTAAACACACCTGTCTTTCCTACAAAGTAAGCGTACTTTGACTGACATTACTCATCGGCGAAGGTGGAGTTCCAACATGTGCAACAGGTATCTTCGCCATCTCAATCAATGCAGTCCATTGACATTCCTTCCTAACTTGTCATATTGCTGTAACTGAAGTGGGCAATTAATGGGAAGTACCAACGGACAGAAACATCTCAAATCTGTCACTCATTGCTTGCAGTCAAAGCTCTTGGACGGCATAAAAAGCTGCACAGTAAATACGTCCTTCAGTGGATAGGCGGTCATCACACATGGGCTAACGACCATGCAAGTTAGCAAATGCCAATCAATTCTCTTTCATTTGTAGTAAGATTTCGTTAGCCATTAGTCTATCAAGGCAAAGTGACGAACTTATCCAACTACTTCATTTCCTTTCCTTAAACTGAGGGTAGAGACTAGACCTCATTGTGTTCAGAAAGTGCATATTTCAGTGTTCACCTAAATGACCATATCATTTATATATTCTGGATCGACGAAACTTCCCTGGCAACAAAGTCCATCACTGTAACGTCGAAATCGGTCACGGTCACATCTGTTTGTAAATCCGTAATGGACTTAAGTAAGAATGGTGGCACAAACATCACTCGTTGGTTTCACGTCAGTTAAAAACTCTCCAATAGCTCTTACGCGGCTATACAAGTACAAGTAGAGTGCCTTGAGTAGAATAATTTACTTTCTCTAAACTCCTTTCACAGTCAGACATTTCCACAGCTCCTCTCGATCGATTGAGCCAGAAGATCCCTTCTGGTCGGGAAATATGGTGACAACTGAACGTTGTAATGCATGCCTGTGTTTTAGGACTTTTCGAAGAGTGGAGATATGACCGCTTAATCCTTGTCGAAGACTGAAGCCCGCCTATTTTGTTTTTCTGAGTCTCAGAATTTTCGATACTGTGTTTTCCACATCTGCCCAGTCTCATGTGCACGAATTAGTACATAATCAGAGTCCACACCACTGTTTCAGAAGGGACAGTGCCTAGGTGGTCTGTTTGTGTTTACGGTTGGCTTGGTGTCTGACATAGTGTCTGTCCTTATTTTTAAAATTGGTTCTGTCTAGGAACAAGTTGTTTGAGACAACCGCCATTTTCGCTTCGTTGGCATTTGAATCCACGTGTATCCAAGATTTACTTTTGCGTTTGTTTTAACTTACGTACTTCGGCACTATAATTCATTGTTTTGATACTGGGGGAAAATGGACAGTTTCTAACAAAATTCCTACATTACTTCGTCCGAACTGCAGTCATTTGTTGCGTTGAAACATGATAAAAACTAATCGGGTATCATGGTTTTCTATTTATCTTAAGGATCTATTACAACCTGACGACAAACTGTCCACAGGAATACACTTTCTGCTATCCATCCCATTACTATGCTTACATCAGAAAATGTATAAAAAACATTCACTGAATCTCCTGATAGCCGTAGGTTGAACTTTTTTTTAATTCTACAAGCTAGCCAGTTAAATTTAAGTAAATAACTACACTTGGGTAGTCTACCTGTCTAATTAATACAGCATACACCTAAAACCTAAGGTATGAAACACTAGCTGTTTTCGACCACAGATGTTTGTGTTGTCCCCCGTATTAAGTTATGTATTATAGTGAGTAATATTAAGGGGACCCGTGGAGTGTTAACTAAGGCAAATCATTCTGTGAGATGAATAGGACACGTGTATTCATGTTGCTTCATCTTCCCCGGTGACCGATATTCGTTAACATGAAATTAGGCTGGAAAAGTGTTAGGAGTAGTTAAACCAAAACTTGTCCTCAATCCATGAAGACTTTACCTGTTGGTTTCAGCCACAAAGGTAGGTGTAGACTGCCTAGTTTGAGTCCTTAGGATGCTCAGAATCAGTGGCCGGGGACTATTGGTTATGTGGTTCTAAGTCGTTCTAAATGGTTCAGATATATTAACTCTCCGGAGTTTCCCCGTGTCCAATAAACCCTCATGTTTTCCCATGTTGCTCTTACTTCTACCCATCACAGTTCCTTTGAATTTCCTTTTCTTTCTCTACCTTTGTATCCTACATGGAGTGTTGCAAGCTGAACTGTTTTACTTCGGTGAAAGTTCTACAATGAATTATTGACATAAGAATAGAACTAGGGCAATGCGGTAGAGGATAATTCCAAGGCAAGAAGAACAAGGTATACGGTATAACATGTGCACATTTCATTTCGAGTTTTATTTCAGCTACAAACAGCCTAATTATGAGCAGGAATAATGAGAAGAAAAATATACATTTTCCAATCGAGTAGTACTGAATGTCTTCTCTATGGCTTTCCTCGATGGGAAGTGGTAGTAAGGTGGGATTAAGCTCTGAAGTACTGGCGAGCTGTCATGAAATGATTAAATATTTGTCTGAGTGACTTGACATGAGTGCTGTCGCCCTCGTAATACTTATAAATAATAGTTACAGACCTCCAATGGCACGGCTCAAAATCTTTCGCAGTAGCACAAATGTATGTACTCCATATCATATTCTTGATTCTAAATATTTTCATTAATCTTCAATAAGTCACACTCTTATCCATTTTAAAACCATTTTTTTGTCTTCCTTTGTGTGCTAAATTGGGGCATAAGAATTAAACTGTTGTACTTTTCTGCAGAGTTTTGCTTCGATTCGGTCTTCTCTGTATGCTTTTATTTGTAGATAAACGCTGTTAGTTAAATGCTTTTGTAGCCAACTTATCAAATGATAATATATAAAGCATCTTTTCGATGTGGCTTATTCTTAAAGACTGATATTTAGATACTTGAGTACTGTTTCTGATTATCTTAATAAAGAAATACTGGTTTTTGTTTTGTATAAAAAATATTCTGTTTATTCGTGAAATATTTCGTAGATTGTAGTCGCTCTGAACTAAAGTGATTAAGTAATTTCTGTTGATGAATCTAAAATTGGGTGTGTTATGAACCACTTACTGTATGTTTGGACTGAAGTTATTACATTTACAGAAACTGATTGGGCGACTTTAGGTTCTTTGCTTGGTTCATGATTCGTCAGTCAAATGGACATAGAATCTGCATTGCTACTCATAATTGTTCATTAAAGGTGGTAAATAAATTCAGCACTATGTTGTAATAAGAAGCATGTTAAGTCTTATTTAGTTCATTAAGTTCTATTATTTATTGTTCACAACGAATATGTTATAGCAGGGACGCTAAGAGATGCATCACAAATTGGGTATTGTGAAGGTAGATGGTTTCAATGCGGTGAATTCCACCATATTTCTGTGTTTTATGTTCTTTGTTTTCTCTTTATTTCAGATGGGATTTAAATGACTTCGGATGTTCGAAATCTTACTTCCCTAAATAATTCACAAAACCCTTTGGGGTGAGTTTGTTTGTTTGTTTGTTAAGAACTTTTTTAAAGTTTATTGACTCATGAAAGCTGTCAACTTAAAATATGACTGGGCACGTAAAATCATTTCAGCTGAGGTTTTGCATAAATCATCTAGGTTACACTTTTTGAATTGATATTCATTCAGGCATGCGTAGCCTGACTGTTCACACTTGTTGTGATATATTTCATGTCAACCCAAACTAGTAGTAACTGTGTTGCTCTTACTGGTCTTATATTTTTTATCTGATGTCCACATAATCATTAAACTGAAGGTATCTAACATAGCACGGAAGTGGCCAAGTCTTGCTATATCCCGTAGCTCTTAAAGAAAGCCTTCAAAAATGGTATGGATTGGTCGTATAAAACACCAATTACCTCTTTACAGTTGATAGAAGTAGACAAAGGATAAATAGACACTGGTGGTTGGATGTTTCCATTATGAAGCCTAGATCGAAAAAAATGACAATTAGCTTATAAATGTATTTAAGACAAAGCTGAAGCTTTATATTGCTCATTTCTTCACCTAAAGGGGTTGTCTGTGAAACCATTCAAAAAGCAGTGTGAGAATTACATGGTCTGTCGTTGTTTCCGTTGTTGATTTTAAAAATTCATCATTCTGACAGTAGGCCGTTTTATTTTGGTGGTAACTAGTCTGTATTATGATTGATACTCGTAAAGCAACTTTGTATTTTTTTCAAAGAAAACCTTTTTCCTGAGATTATAATATCAATTTACCGAGAAATCAGCCACATGGACTTGACGTAGTGTATTATTCCTACGTACTACAAAAACTAGTTTTAAAAGAATCATCATAGATGAATGGAGCAGTGCTATTAACAGTATAGAATGCATGAAGAAGACATGAGGAACAACGTATTCTTCTAAAGCTGTTAGCTTACTGTTAAATTCCAATCGAAGAAATTCAAAAATAAGGTATATAAAACAGTAGTGCTGTTGAACAGTTACATAAGTGTATACACCGGCTCTATTTATATCGCAAACATATGTGACCATAAATAAGACTTATACCAAATAGCTTTCTGAAGGCCTATGCAGAAGATATTGGAATAAGTCTTTTTGAATGCGATTTAGTGAAACCTTCTTTACACTTAACAGCTGATCGACAGTATGTGCGAGAACTTTGTGTATCTGCCCATTTACTACTGATTTTTAGCCTTTGTCATATGTTTCATTCGAATTGTGACTTGCAAATTTTTGTAGTTGGGCACATTAAGTACTAAGCAAGACTTGAGTCCTTATATAGCTAATCTATTTTTTAGTTCATTCGTGCTAAGTAAATTCAGACCTACTGCTTAACTTCACCCCCTCTATTAATGAGTAGTTAGTATTTGTACTTATTTTTCTAAATATGACGTCTTACTGGTGTTTTTTTTATCTGCAGGAATCACCGAAGTAGAGCAGCTTCGGAGTTGGAGACGATTTCTAGTCTAGACGTGAGCAGCAGTTCCCTTGTGTCTAGTAGTGAAGACCAATTGCTAACCTATCAAAAGACACTCGAAGATTGGCTTCTAAAAGCTGTGGTTCATACATTTTCTAAATTGTCTTCAAGCCACAGAGTAAGTTTATTTGTGTTTTATTGCCACAAAATATGGTTGTATATTCCATTATGGGTAAATTTTGTTTCTATAATGTCTCACAGTGTTATACAGTATTGTTTACTGATGACATCGTTTCGGGCACAATTTATTACCACTCATAATCATATCAAGCTAATCACATGACTTCCTAACTTCATTTATATAGTTCCATTATTTTTCACTTGATTTGATTCGTAGTAGTATCCTCCATATTTCCGGTATGAGTGATGAGTCATTCCTATTGCGTGCGTTGGGTGTATAAACTGGATGAACAAGGATTCAGTAATCAACCACTCTCCCTCTCTCCACCTACCTAGATTACTTTTTAGAATTTTAACCCTCTCCCATCCTATTGTGTGGTTGTGTGTTAATGCATGCACTACAATTGCTGAGCTTTTTTCTAAATTACTTATCTTTTCAGGGTCAACCATTCTTACCTTAGCTAAACTCTTATATTCTGATAATCTCACTACTCCTGACCTACTAGTTTGACCTATGTAGTTGACCTCACAGTCATTGCAGGGTATTTTGTAAATTATATTATTTTACTTTCTCTCTATTTTATTTCACCCATTAGGTCTCTTTTTGTGCTACTTAATGCCACTGCTGTGCGTTGGTGGCATAGCGGTTAGGATGTTCGCCGACCATGGGTTCGATCCCCGGCCGACTCACTCCTTCACCTCGCTAAACGAGAAACAATGCTGGTAAAGAGGAAAGGTCGGGTAAGAGGTAAGCAACCTCATCCTGTAAAAATAAACACTGCTACAGAAACTTCGAGTCACTAGCTTGAAGCCCTATGTTCCACTGGGAAACGTGAAGGAAAATTTTAAAAAATTAAATTAAAATGCCACTGCCAGCACAAAAAAGACCTAAATGATGAAATAAGACAGATAGAAGAGGCTTTGGTGTTAAATAACTATCCTTTAAAATTCATTAGGAAGATCAAAAAAGGCCAAAAGAAAAACAAAAATAATCGTGAAACTAGTAGTAATAACATAAATAAGAGAGAATAAAAGTCATCTACAGTTATACCATATAAAGAGGGGTATCTGAGACCCTACGTAGGATTCTTAATAGAGCAGGAATTGTGGTGGCATTCAAAACTACAAACTCACTCAGAGACAAGCTCTGTAGGTTAAAGGACCCAGTTGAACCAATTAGACAAAATAATATAATTTACAAAACGCCCTGCAATGACTGTGAGGTCAACTACATAGGTCAAACTAGTAGGTCAGGGGTAGTCAGATTGTCAGAGCCTAAGAATTTGGCTAAGGTAAGAATGGTTGACCCTGAAAAGATAAGTAATTTAGAAAAAAGCTCAGCAATTGTAGTGCATGCATTAACACACAACCACACAATAGGATGGGAGAGGGTTAAAATTCTAAAAAGTAATCTAGGTAGGTGGAGAGAGGGAGAGTGGTTGATTACTGAATCCTTGTTCATCCAGTTTATACACCCAACGCACGCAATAGGAATGACTCATCACTCATACCGGAAATATGGAGGATACTACTACGAATCAAATCAAGTGAAAAATAATGGAACTATATAAATGAAGTTAGGAAGTCGTGTGATTAGCTTGATATGATTATGAGTGGTAATAAATTGTGCCCGAAACGATGTCATCAGTAAACAATACTGTATAACACTGTGAGACATTATAGAAACAAAATTTACCCATAATGGAATTACACTCTACCGCAGTGCACAAGTTTTATTCTTATACCAACTATATAGTTGTGTATGCAGTGATTTATCAGAATACTCCTTTTATTAACTTGTCAATCAAATAATCAAGTTTGTAATAGAGTTTTTACTGCTTTTAATAAATCAGTGTTATAAAGTCGGTTAAAAGGTGGATGAAATTTTGTAAACATATGATGAAAATGGGTCGAAATTGTGTAAAATACCGAAGTACCGAGTGTGATGTAAAATCTGTAGTATTATCTGTGCTCCACATCCATAGACCATAGATACTTGATATTGTGGTTTACTTGCTCTAAATTATCTTAAAGCATACATCCACCTTGTTCCAGTGTTGTATGCCAAAGTTAACAGTAACTCCATACGCTTAACATATACTAGAGCCAGATTTCCACATCTTTTTCTATCTCACTGATCATGTTATGCACTTTGACACTGCAGCAGGGCACCACTGCACAGTAAGTACAATCAACCCACACGCCTTGCAAGCTCAGTCGACAAAGCAAAATTAGTTGTTTTCGTTTTGACACCGAAATTCTATCGATTACTGGCTATTTAAGACTGATGGAACTTCTGTTAACGACTTTGTTTTCTTTTGTTGAAGACATGAGGGTTCAAAAATCCTTTGACAGGACTGTATATTTGATAGAATTGTTGTGGTACGCATTACGGTTCACAAATATAGACAGCTGAAGCGTAACTTAAGGCTAAGAAGCATTAGAGAGCATATCCCCAAATGGTTTAAAAGACAAATGAATTGTAGAAAATCAGTAAACGCAGGTGGCAGACTACCAACTTTGTCTAAACATCTAATCGAGATGAACCATAAGATTGATGTTAACACAGCCTTTTAGGTTATCCATAAAAATGGTCAAAGGCGCTTACTGAAATACACTGAGGCTGTAGCCATTCATAAACTTAAGCCCCCCCCCTTCCTGTGTATTCAAAAACAGTTTATTATTACTCTTAATCTACCTTGGTAATCCTTATTTGATTGGATAACGAAACGTGGCGTTAATTATTCTTAAATCTTTTTTGTCAATTTTTAATTTATTTGCCCTTAATTTTTTCATACATATTGACTTGACAAGTAAATGTGTGATCAGATTGTTCGAAATGTATAGTGCGAATAACATTTTTCAGATAATGTTTTCTAATAATCCTAACCGATAGCTGCTACCTTGACGTGGTGGTCGGGCTTGCACATCGCGATGATTTAATAAGCTACACTGGCTGGAATCAATATTCCTGCAGGCCCTACCATGCGAGAAAGGTTGTTAGGATAGCGATTAAACTAAAAGCAGTTACCGGGATTTTTCTTACTGGGAAACAGGGGTGTAACAGCAGTGAGGTGTTTCCCTCAGATGACCAGCATGTCAGCTATGCTATCTCTCCGCTCTGGATAGAGGGGGTTGGATAAGGTCGACTCCAAAAATTGTACATCCCGACTTACCCTACGGTGGTCCGTAACCGTCGATAAGTTTACTAATACGGAACCCATCCCAGGAACCAGTTCATACAGACCATGTGTGTCACCGGCCTCAAGTAGTTCTCCCTTGGGCTCTGCGGTCACGCAACACTAACCCCTCTCTTTGTTTCAGGCACCCGAAGTATCAATAAACCTCCATGGTGTGGGCAGCCGGGAAGTAACAACCACCCACACACTTCCAAAAGCAAACGTAGCCTTCCTGAGCATCATTCTCCTCTCTTCTAATAACACTATCCATATTTTCTTTCTATCTGAGAGTGCTTAAATGTGTCCACCTAAGATCGTGTTAGGAATTAAGTCAGAAACTGTCAAGTCTCGAGGTGATTAGTCTGTAGTTCTCTCAGTTAAAATGTTTATTCAAACCGATGAGTTTCAATATCTCAGTGCTTCGTTATTCTCAAAATCACTAAGAGACTAAGAAGGGTTATTTTAAACTTCATTTTATTGAATGTGTTTCAGCGGATTAACTGCAGCCACAAGTCTTTCCTTTGTTTACTGAGGCTGTGCAGTTTATGAGATCAAAGTATGATGTGAAAGTTTTTTGTTTAGTCTACTTCTTGGGAACTGTGTAATGTTTTTCGAGCTTTGATTCTCTATTATTAAACCTTTGTATACTTGATAACGTGACTTAGTATGTCAAGAAGTCTGGTGTTTAAATATGTATAGTGAAATGTAATGGCCGTTGTGATGTCATGCGATATACCCCACATCAACTAAAATTTACGTACAGTTGGTACAGTTAAGCCACGCTTATTGTGTCAAAGCTAGTGATAGTATCTGCTTGCCCAAAGCTTGGTAGATGGAGCGAGATTGGAACTCGTTACCCACTGGTTGGAAATCTATTCCCTAAGCCAATGAGCCAGTTTAGTTTTAAGTCTCAAAATCGAGGTATTCTCTCACAGTCATCCTCTTATTAAGAAAATCTTTGTTATACTTATACCTGCAACTCTCCTGTTCAGTTCTCTCACCCTTTTTCATCCAATTTTCAATCTTGTCTGGTTGTTGAAGTGTTTCTGTTATTGTAATAAGCCTTTTTTGTTCTCATTACTCTTCACAAAGATGACACTTATTGTATATTAGCTTTACAGTACACACCCTTTTCATTGTTCATTCGTGAAATTCTATGACTTATAGTAGTATTTTAAAAAAAATCTAACTGTGTACATCTGTGAAATTTAGTTTGGAAACAAGTGCGGATTGATTCCGTTACTTGTTGAAATCTTAACTAGGACTACTTCCTTAGAAACACTTAGACACCTAGACACTTACTTGTATTACTTTTTATATTCATAAGGGTTTACTGTTAGGATTGAGGTTTATTGTTCAAATCATCATGGTCTCAAGACGCTATGGAGGATTAAATACGCGGGTAACATTTCAATATTTAAAATGGTAACAAAGGGAACCGCTAAGAATACTTTAAATAGGAATAATTCAGTTTACTATTGACAGTCGTTTGTACGGAGATTCTAATATATCCAGATACTTTTCAAATTTTTGTAAAAAAAATATTGTAATTCTGTCGTCTTGAATGTACTACTTGTAAGTAGTTAATGCATGAATAGCTAAGCATGATTTCAAATAATACTAAAAATATATCCACTGATTATGACTGTTCTGAAATATATACTGATTAATTTTGATTGGATACTAGTAACCAGTGTAACGTGTTAAGTCCTTTCTTTGGTGCAGACTAAATTCTGCCAGTTAGATTTGCAATGTGGCCGCCATGTCGCTAGGTACCTCACCATCACGGTGCATGAGTTCCTTCAAGGTTGAGAATACG